TACCTGCAGAACCCATCTCCATTCCAGCTTCCAACCTCATGGAAGGTATAACTCTAGCGTTGTGTTCTATTACCTCTCAGCTAGTTGAAGGTTCACAATAAGGTAATTTATAAACAATGAGACTGGGTTTTTTTTCAACATCTTGTTCACTCTTACGTGGCGTTTGGCAATCGCCAGCAGCTGAATTGCCTCCAAGTTCTGAGTGAACATTTGGTTCTATAGAATGATGACTATCGTTTGATATTTGTTCGCCACTAGGTAAATCATCACATTGGGCGGAATCACTACTAATATTTCCAACAATAGGACTTTTTTTGGAATCAGAAAAAACGTTTGGCGAAATAAAACAGCCAGTAGTAAAGCTATCGTCTTCCTGACTTCTAATTAATGTCGGCTTATAGACATTACATTCGTCAGACATCAATCCCTTTTGAATGTCTTTCTGGTTTTACCCAACATATCTTCATTTTTAATAAAATGTATTAGAGTTTTTTCTTATTTATTTATTTCAGTGGCATTTTCAACACGCTTATATTTCAATATCTTAAGTTTTTCACTAAGAGTTTGTATTAAAACAGAGATTTCGTACATTTCGTAATTATCACCACTCTCTACGCTTTGTTCGGTTAGCTTTATTAGTTCATTTTTTAGACTTGGTATGCATGCTTAAGTCTTAAAGCTCTGGAAATAATTACTTACAAGTTGTCTTAAGTGTTTTAAATTATACATACGCACAATTTGATTTATTGTGTTCGTCTTGTTGTCTTTCGGTGAACTCTGTAAAGTATTATCAAAAGTGCGAAACTCAAGTATTTTTGTGTGAAAAACGTTTTACAGTTGATGCAACATTTTCTCTACAATTTTTAATCAGCGTTGGAACTCTAGATGCACTTTTTTCAGAATCTATAAAATAATAAAATGTCTATGATGTATAGCTACTATGCCTTTCAATTTGTATGTTCAAATATTGTACACTGCTTACAGTTTTCAAGGATTTAAACTTATTCAGCAAACTACTGATATGTACTCTCTTGTTCAGATTAGACATGACTCTTTATATTAGTGATGACACGCGTATATTTAAACTAGCAAAACTTTTACTTCGACACTTGAATTAGTATCTGAGGACTCTTAAGTCTATCGTGTTCAATTAGACTTGGCAGCTCACTTGGTAATGTAATCATCACTCTTTTTACCGTAGTGTCCACTTCCATTCCAGAGTTTGATATAACCACATTGTGCGTTTGTTCCGTTGTCTCCATATTGTTGATTCACTTACACGACGTTCATACTTTGCAATGAGGTATTGATAAAGTTTATACAAAACGACCAGAAATATGCAAAATGAATAACAAGATAGAAGGCAAAGCTGAATTGAACTTATCAAAAAATCTTTCCAGTTTTTGACCATATTTTATAAGTTATAAACACTGTTGAAATGATAGATTTTAATTTGATGTACTCAAGTTTTATTAAGTAATCGTAGAACTGACGATTGAATTTAAATAACATAAATTAAAACGACTAATTATCATTTTATAGCTATGGAAACCAATTTTAGTATTATTAAAACATTTATTTACTGTTAAATATATTTTATCTTAAAAAATGGCAAAATAAATTTTAATAGAAACTTATCTATTTATTAATATTTATGGAATGTTAAAACCCTCAAATTTTTATATTTTAAGGTGACATACAATTATATTCAACACAAGTTTATCATTGTAAATTTTTGGTCAATAGTATGTACATGTTTTATTAATAAATACAAAAATAATTTATGACCTATTGAAACTTATTATTGCTATTTTTAACTTAAATAATAATAGTAAAATAATATAATAGCAAAAAAATGTACAAACAATTTTGTTCTTATAATTTTTGTTGATCCGATAAACCGTTTAACCTTTTCAGCGAATTGAAGTTAAGTGAAGCGTAGTTTCCAAACCAGCTAAAACCGTTTTTGAAATTTTTCAGGAACAACAAAATAAGATAATGATTTAACTCAAAGATTTTATAATATTTATGATATTAAAACTTGGGAGTATAAACACATTGTGTGTAAATATTTACTTTAACAAAATATTTTTACAAGACTTATTTAGTTTTATAATTTTTATATAGCTGGTTTTGTTACCAATTTCATCAGATGGCTGGTTTTGAAGTCAACATTTTTTTTTCTATATACATGGCTGGTTTAGAAATTGACTCTGTAATAAGTAGTTTTGAAACAAACTTTGAAATAAAAACTATCTATTATATTTTTTACTGCACTCTTTAATCAATAGAAAAATTTTACTTTTAAATTTAAATACATAAAAATTTTAATCAGTATTAATATCGTAGAATAAATTTAATCATTATCAATTATTTTACTGCAAACAAAAATATATAATTGATTATGGCTTGTTTTGAAATTAACGTTGTTAGATTGGTGATTTTGAAACCAACCATATTTTTCCATGATTAATTTAAACGTTATAGTCTGTTTTTAAGTATAATATTTTTACAGGACATTTAGTATAGTGTGACCATTTAAAAAATACAAAAAAAAATTCACTTATAGCTGGTTTTGAAATTATACGCCTCAATTGTCTTTGGACCAAATTTCTATTATTATTTTACTGTATTATATAACGTAGGCATTGATAACAACTAATAGATACATACTATTATATTCCATAGAAATTTATTATTATATATTGTTGAACGACTAGTTTGGAAAAATTTTCTTGATAACTAACACACAAATAATTTATGATCCATTAAAACATAATAGTTGCCTCTAGTTTTACGAAATTAAATTAGTGATGACAGTATCCTAAGGGACCAACGGGGGATAGCTGACTAGGATTAGGTACTGAGGTTTCCTTTTAGCTTCGATGCGAAGCTGAGAAGGTATTGGTTTTACTAAGATGTGTTTTTTTTTTTTTTTTTTTTTTTTTTTT